TGGCTACAGGCGTTTGGAGAAGAACCCAAGGGGTTGCCATTGCCCAGCAAAGTGCCGTTGCAGGACGGTTCCTACCGCGACGTCTGAGGCATAAATCGGATAGAAAGAGGTGCAGTCGATTCAGAATCAGCGAGGAGAGCTATGTTGGATATAGCACGCTTGAGCTCGGGGAAGGCTGTTTGTGCTGCTTCGGGGAAGGCGAACACACGTTCATTCCTTCTGAGTAGGTCAGTCAGAGGTTGCATGAGCTGAGCGCAGCACGGAATGAAGCGTCGATAGTACTTGACCAAACCACAAAATTGACGGTGATGCCTGGATAAAGTCGGAGCTGGGAAGTCCTTGATTGCCTGGATCTTATCGGGAAGAAGTTCGATATCAGGCGATGAAACGAGCTGACCTGGGAATTCTACCGTTGACTTGCCGAGTTCGCACTTAGTCGGGTTGACTGTAACGCCGTGTTGGGTCAAGCGCTGGAATCTAGCTCGAACGTAGTCGAAATTCTCTTCTTCTGATCAACCGGCTATTCAAATATCGTGGAAGTAGAAACAAGCGATCTCTAGACCACGAATGACATCGTGGATGAAACTTTGGAATGTTTGTGCGGCGTTGCGCAGTCCGAATGGCATTATTAAAAATTCAAAATAGCTGGAAGGAGTGATGACGACAGTTTTAAGAACCTCATTTTCTTCTACAGGTATCTGGTGATAAGCGCGAAATAGATCGATCTTGCTGAAGATCGTCTTACCTGTGAGACATGCCGTAAGGTCATGAATGTGTGGGATAGGATGCCTATCTGGGACGGTTACCCGGTTGAGTGCGCGGTAGTCACTGAAAGGGCGCCAGTCACCAGATTTCTTAGGGACCATCTGCAGGAGAGAGGACCAATGACTGTCGGAAGGGCGGATTATGCCAAGTTCGAGCATGTGCTCAAACACCGCCCTAGCTACCTTTAGTTTCTCAGGCGATAGTCAGTGTGGGCGGCATGAGACAGATGAGCCATTCGTCCGAATGTGTTGCATGACTTGGGGTGCCACGGGCAAGGCTGCCTTCATTGGCTGAACGAGCTTTGAATACTGGGAAGAGGTTGGCATATTTTGACGAGGTCTGGGGAAAGGCGTAGACCGGTGTTATAGATCCCATATCGGTGGTGATGTCAAGTACACTGCTTTTCGTTGCAGTTTCGACTATTATCTGGCGTTTTGGATCGATGAATAGGTCAAAATTCCTGAGAATGGCAATGCTGATGATGGCAAAGCGGACTGCAGCACCAGTGAATACCCAGCAGATCGTGCGCCGAAGACCTAGGTCCAGGGTAAGCGACTGATGACCGTAGGCGGCTATTGGCGTACTACTGGCGGCGCTTGAGCTTGTCGCAAAGAAGAGGCAGGCTCATTTGGCATAGGAGGAATGACGCTGACTTCTTTGCCGGTATCAACTAAGAACTGGGTCTCGGAATCCTAATCTCTAATGTTGATGAGACGACTTTGGGCTTTGCCAACGTCGTTCGTGGCCATTACAGTCCAGCCTGGCGGATCATCTGTAGCGCAGTAGTTAGATTGCTATACGCACTTAAGCGACTTATTTCCAAAACACGAGTGGTAAAAGCAACTACCTGGGGCATCAGGTTTTGTGCGACAGGGCGATGATCCAGCTCGGTTGCGGTGATTACAGTTTAAAGTGAGTTCCTCGATCTGCAGCTGAAGCGACGCTATCTGCGGTGAGAATGCGTCTATGACCGACGGCTGGCTAGTCGCGATTGTCTGTTTGGTTGCGCCAATACAAAACTGTTTAGGTGCTTTGGTTTCAGTCTCTGGCTGGTGCCGTTCGATGACGCGGTCTGCTAGATCTGCAGTTGCTGTGAGTGGCAGGTCAGTTGCTACTGCAAGGATAACCTGAGTGCTTTCAGGAAGGCGTTGCATCCAAAGCTGGCGGAGAATCTCTACATCCATATTGGACGTGCCGATGAGCTGTTGCATTTCGTGCAACAAGTATGAGGGCATAGTATGTCCTAGTTGCATATTACTAAATAGATGCTGCAGTCGGACGTTGTCGGAAGGTTTGATTCGCTGAATAATAGTCTGTTTAAGAGTCTCGTATTTCATTACAAGATGGGGCAAAATATAATGTCTCTCACCTGCGAGGATATACTCTGAGGAAGGCGAGATATTAGCTGATTATGCATGGCGAAATCAGAAGAAATCCTACGAATGTAAAAAATGGATGCTAGATGCGAAGACCATAAAGAAAGATCATTCTCCCAAAAAGGTGGAGAGGCTAACGCGACTGTATTGACCATGACAGGCTCTACGGTGTTAATCGCGTATGGAGATGGCTTATTCTCTGGATAATCCATTGCCAAAAGCGAATACAAATGTGATAGGTGAGAAAACAATATAACCACAAGTAATGAATCACAAACTCAGTGGAACAAGCTTACCAGAATGAAGATTCAAAATGGCGGATGGCGTGTGCTGCACCGGGGTCACCAATTGTTGGGTGGCGCCTGGGATACTAGTCGGTAATCGATGACACGTAAGAGACGTGTCAAATACGGGACAGTATAGAAGTTGGAGGCGACTGAACCCAACATGTATTGTGCAGGCAACAAAGATAGGAAGCGAATCAGCCAAAGCGAGAGACAGTGCAGCAAGATACTTAGCAAAACAATTTGTGTCAACGGAAGTATCGTCAGTAAAACAAGTGGACGTTTCGAAGGTTAAAACTACGGTAAACTCCAATGTTGCAAAATACTGAAAGAGCGTGTTTTCCGGTACTCGACACACCCTAACCATCCTAGGGGACTTACCAACCACCCGCTTTTATTCGTGATAAATCATTGTTCATTGTAAGTAATTGTCAGGAAGCGTTGTTTTGAAGGATTTTCAAGACAATTTCTTTGTTATCAGTTTTTTGCATCATTTTATGGGTCGGTGTTACAACATGTGACCGTACCCCATCGATCTCGTATGGATGACTGCAAGTGTCAGTCTACGGAAGTTACAAAAGTGAGAATGGCCTCGACGTATCCTATACGATTGGTCAGCGATATCACGCAGAATTCGCTCAAGAATAGGTATGCTAATCTCACACCAATGTAACCAGGCCAAAATCAACCGTAAACGATTTTCTAGTCACCTTCTGTGATTCATCTTGGTACACATGACCTCAACAGATTCTGGAATTAGTTTCACCAGATTGTGGGGATTGTACGTGATGTAGAATGCTATTCAGATTGAACATTTAAACAGAGAGATATCTAGTGTGGATCTGGAGCTTGAGAAGAGCGTGTAGTTGCTGAATTCCCATCAGTTGACATTCCACTAAGGGTGAGCCAGCCATACCGTACCTCCATGCTTATATGAAAAATAGTTTTTGATATAACTGAAAATCATTCCATCTGAATGACCATGATTTTTCCATGGAATTTATAAGGCCAGTTCCTTGTCGTTTTTTGGGGGGGGTTCTTTGAGCATCTAGAAATGACGTGAGAAACACCGGTAGGGGTCCAATATTAAATGGTACTCCATTTTGTTCATGGAACTTGATATTCGCTACTCCAACCACTGTACATATGGTTTGTACCCGTGTCTAATAGCCGAGGAAAATTGAACGGATCTGCAGCACCGGAAAGATAGCCAAGCAAACACCGCCGACATGTTTGTCTGAGAGGCAGCCGCTCAACGATGCTTGCCGAGTTGAACGGACATTCCCGAATTGGTTCAACCTGGAACGAATGAAGTAGATATTCAAACGGAGGGTTTCGTTGCTGCTGTCTTCTATCTCTGCACTCCAAGACCGACCGGCTTCGTCCTGGTTTGGACTCATAAGGTAGCGATAGCCTGAATCGGGATTGGGACTCCACACGTAGTGGTTGGCGGCTATGGCCATGATCACTAGAGATCCGTTCCAAATGAAGATGGAGTTAATTGGGTCTAATATTGGCGAGCTGAGAGAAAACTTGAGCAACTGAAGCGAAGTGAAGGCCCAGCGTAGAGAAATAGAGCTAGGTAATGAGAAAAACAACGGTGGGAGGATATCCATTTTCCAGGGAGTATAAACGAACATTATGTTGATGAAACGGAGCTTTCTTCACTAGTCAGACGGTGTTCTGGCTTGGGGGAACGCAAGACAAATCATGCGTTAAGTACCAATAATTCGGGCTGGTCGATGATCATATGGCTAGACGTCACCGCAAACCTATGTTGCTGAGTCCAGTGGGATGTTTTTCCGTCTATGGTCCGGCTGCTATAAAGGCGATACCTCATTAACCTACTTAGTCGCCCGTATGGTTAGTAATCAGAATGGCCAAGTATAGCTTAGAACAACTTTCACTTCTTAGGTAGCTAAATGCGGTGTGTTCCAACCGTAGTGTTGTATAGGATCCACCCGAAGTGGGCACCAGTGACACCGAGGAAAGGTCATCTCAGGAGCCCACGCTCTGCTTTGCGGCTCTCAACACTTTTGTAAATTGAATATTCAATATGTTGCGTTACGTGTTAAATAATATTAGCCGACATCTCATTGAACATGGTTAGTGGGGCTTGGTGGGTTAATCCCCAACCTGGACGCCGTCGCACTGGATTAGTGCGCCGTAGCCGTCAGCTACATGGGGGTTCGGAGTGGAGATAGGCGACGGATCGAAGGTCAGCATAGAGATAGACTATTTGACCTAGTTCCTTGAGATGACTAGCAGTTGGATCAGGTTTGTCCGTGGTCTACGCGGAGAAGACTCCGCATATGAGTTCACTTTGGGCCAAGTGAATAAGACACCGTTGTCAGTGGGGTTGCAAACGGTTTTTCAGAGATAGGCGTTGTGCGATTGTTCGTTTATGACAAAAATATGGCAAATTCAGAATCATATTCCTACTAACCCGGAGATGAGTTGAATTTCATACTTCAAGCTACGCAGTTATTGTTGACGACGATGCGTGAGGGAGTATAGAATTAAATCCGAACACTATCTAATGCATTTCATCTTATCTCTTTGATGCGTACTGCAGATGGGTATTGGATCTTCTGTGAAAGAGGATCACTGTCAATTGGCTGACGCCCAGATGACGCCAGACTACCCACCAAAGGCAAAGTTGAATGAGAACGTAAAACATCCAACGGAACTTCATGCTGATGAACAAAACGCCCTGGAGTTGACACCGCCAAATACAAAGAGTATGAGGAAGCAAGGCATGGATTGCAAGGGTGAATCACCTTCCGCCGAAGCTCTTTATTTCCCGCTACCGACAACCGTTGAAAACATTCCATTGCTCAGGAACCCATCCCAGTTTGAACGACCCCAACCACAGTTGAGTGAGTTCAATTACGTAAATTCGGCTGTGAGAATGTTACACTTGGGGACTCAACTAGTGTCAGTGGACTACATATACCAAATTTGGTTTTAGTCCAATAACGAGGAAATTTTAGGGACGAGTCTGAACTGTTGTGCAGTTCTTCTGTGACAAGTCACGCAAAAGAACCTCCAACCATTATAGGGCTAAGAGACCAGTCACTGGGTCCAGAATGTGCATCGTGGTCCAGTGGCTGCTGTCTCACAAGTTCAGGGGTCGTGGCACCTGGCTGTTGCTTGAATGTGGCCTAATGTGTGCTCACTAGCGAGTAATTACAACAGAACGAAGTGACTTAGTAGTGTTTACCGGTTGATTACTTTTGTCCACTCCGCATGAGGTTGCAGAAAGTAACGGTGCGATTTATTGTTCAAATACGATCCTGAGTGCTACCCACTAGATGACGGCACTGTACAAAGCAACCGCCCGGTGCAACACTTTCTATGCCTCAACATCGCACGATCTGGAAAATTGCTTTGCTGAACAACTCACCGGTGAACCGATAACCTAGAACTACGGAATATTGTTGTGTTTTGAAGTATTCGCCCATTATTTGGGTTGCGACACACAATTCCAATTGAGGTCACGGTTTGCTTTGTAGCAAACATTTGCCATTTCGATCACTGGGACCACATCCGAAGTGGAGAGTTTCGGATCTGCTCTCTCCCAACACCCTACTCAAAGACCGACGGTTTCATCTTCAGTTGGACCCTTCCCTTAGCCTGAAGGAATAATAGAACTTTGAACGTAGTGGTTTACTAATGACACCCAGATCACTTGGCCATTGAGCTGCTTGAGCAGTGCTTGAGACATCAGCTGTAAATTCGGTGTTGTGTTTTGGCGTACTTTTAGTGCGGTTGGATCACGACATGACATGGTTGCTCACGGATTTCGCGGGCTCAGTTTTCAAGACAGTGGTCATCAACTACCACATCCAGAGTTCCATACTCGGTGCAGGCCATCGCTACCCGAACAGCCCAGATGATGACCAAAACGGTCGTACAGTACAGGGTTGAGGGTGAGCAATAGGGGACTTCTCCACTAATTTGGGAACACGTCAGAAACTCGGCGCACACAATCTCAGTAAATGATTGATTTCGAGGAAACCCTTGAGTAGTTTCAAGGAAGCATACTCGGCCATTTGAAGCAGATGATGGTTACCGGCTTGAAACTAAAGCGAAAACGAACACCAGCCATCGTGTTGAGTACTAGTCGGATGCATGCGCTCCGGTGTAGGTGCATGGCCATCCGCCAATGGTTGGTAAGTGTGAACGTAAACATTGTGTATGAATAGTAGGCACGGAGAAGTCACTTTGAGTTGTATGGAGGACGTTAAATAGTTCACCCGGTACCAAGATTCAGCAAACGGAATGCAGCCGGGGGTGTAAATAACACTGTCGCATCTCCTCTAACTCCAATCACCAAACGCCAAAGGGAGTAAGGGAGCCGGGGGCAGTTTGGAAGACGTCAAGCATGTGAACCTCACTGACTTAGAGAAGTAATGCATCTTCATCGCGGCTTCTAAACGGACTCTGGATGAATATCTGCCTAGCACGAGCTGCAAGTGTGTGTAGTAGGGCGTGGTAGGCGACTTGAGGTGGACAGTTTGCGACCGCTCCACGCAATAGACCTATATCGGATTTGATGCAACGCGTAGCAGCAAGATGCCACGTGTCAGCTGAACCCTCATTGTGCTCATCAATTAATTGTTTGCTAACTCACAGACTGACATGAAGGCGTTTAAGTTGTTAAATGGAGACGCCCACTGCACGGCCCTCCTCTCTTTGTCGATATTTGACATGGATACAAAAGATGGTCAGGTTTGTCGGGGAACATAATCGACTTCATCACAGACAAGGTTTCATTTGGCAATTCCCAAATCCTGGACTGTAGCTTAGATATTCAAATCGGCAGCCGGAGCTTAAAATAACATTTACCAAATTAGTTGCTGTTTTCGTTAAAGTCCGTCGGATATATGCAACTGGATCGGTTGAAGCGAACTACAAACTGTGTTGTGTCCCATGAACGAAGACAACTGCCTAGATCAGTTCCTCGCAGTGTGCGAAAATGCAACTGAAAGGCGGAATATAGTGCACATTGTCCCTGAAGGTAGTCAAGGCGCTGTTTCGAAGCAAACAGGATAGTCCGTGGTAACAGTTTGCCGCTCGGGGTCTCAGGGCATAGTACCACCAACTGTTATAGTAGCAGTAGTAGCTTTGTAAGGTGCTTATACACTTCTACCCTCGTGCTACTGCATCAATCCAGAGTGCCATTAGTTGGACCGAAACTGGGCGCAACTTGCCACCCGATTTGTTATCTGCAGTTGACCTGTGAGCAGAAACTATCCCACCACATTGTCTAACTACTTCGATTCTCCTATCAACTGTTCGGCTGATAGAGTGCATTCCTCCCATTATTGCAAACTGCACCCTAAGGGTTTTAATACCATAATCGCAGCGAATAACCACGCCGTTCTTGTTACGCTTGTGACTTTATTGATTACCATACTGATCTTCGGTGAACTGGTCACCGCCTACGTTAGTTGTGAATTTTTCAGCTAACCTGTCTTCCTGAGTGAGCGTTAATATCGTACTTGGACTGAGCTCATTGTATCCGGTTTGTCCACTTCGGTTTTAGTCGCAAACTAACGTGCTTCAAACTGGAGGTGTGCGCCATCAATAAAGGACTTGAAAAATGTAGTTGTTCTCAACCAAACATATGCAATTTCTACAATGTTTGTGCTGTCTCTGTAAGCCACGACCAGGGAGGATCTGGTAACCGAGTGGCCATTGAATGTCTTCGAGTCAAAACGGAGGCGCTGGCATAGTGAGGAATACGCGGCTGTGTTGGACCTATACGCCCGTGTGTCTCCTGATTTGAAGACCATGGTGGAAGACCCAGCAAACAACATTCGATGGTTACCAAGACTTCACTAATCTAGCCACTGCTGTAAAAACAGGGAACAGGATTGCAATCACCGAAAGTACACTCCCAGGCCGTCAATTTAAAACCAAGTGTTACACTTTGGAAGATTGCCTTTGTCCGAGAGAGTTGACATCGAGATCCATTCGCTGATAGAACAAAGCTTCACCCATAAGCAAGATGTAAGATGTCTTCCGCTGTCAATGTAAAACCCTAACAATGCCCCTTGGGCCAGATGGAGAGCTAGACATTTTACGACTGTAATCCACCAGGTTAAGGAAACAGATTCAAAGCTGTTTGCATGGCGTAATGCGCTAGTAATACTTCCAGAAGGATAGTTATGTTTATTCGTGACCCCACATTCATAGGCTACTGGAAGCTACTGTCACCGATCGGGAACGGCCACTGCTTTGCGCGCAGAAACAGCTGACCGTGACTCTGAACTGAGGTAGCGCGAGGCGCATAGATTGGTCAGCGATCACTTAGCAGTCGATCTCACATGATCACATTTTATTCCCTCTCACTGTTTGCATGACTGTGACCGACCAGCGTACATGAAGAGCTAACTCATCTAGTTATTTTCCTAGTTATAATTACTCGAGAAATCTTGTATCCTCACATGGATAGCAAGTGGAGAGGTCTCTATGTTGCTCCGCCCAACATCATCATCCATAGATGGCATTATTACTCTACTCCAACTTTCATTTACTTATACATTTGTGGTTGTTCCTAGTTTCTTAATAATTCTAATAATTTTGAAATGCCAATCACTTGAAAAAAAATTATTTGGGCTCCACTGTATAAAAGATGAACAATTAGCTATTTTAAGCAATCTCTTTTTATAACTTGATTAGACCACTCAAGTGGACGGTCCCTCGCACCGTAGTGGTTTATGCCGTTCATTTATTTATTTATCAACACACCTTACCCAAGGGTGAGAAACACACCTCAGTTAATGTGCCACAATACAAGACAGGTAAGACATTAAACAATGTAGGCTTAAAAGCTGTATAAAAGTGACATAATGCTAAGCTACCATGTATGATTGTTGTTGGAATGGAAAGCGGAGCGGAGGGACAAAGAGTCTCACAACACAGACGTCATTGAAGTCGACTCTTCCCCATGTCTACTAGTGTGTCCAAGCACGTTTGTTCATCATCCTTCAGACCCCAGCCAGGCAGTCGGGAAATTCCAACCGACGCCAACTTCAAAGCAAAACACTTCATTCCTCTTGAGCAAGTCACCGCTTTGCCCCTCTCCCCTTTTTCTATCCACACCGCTGGCGCGCGAACAATGCACCTCATGGGAGTCTGTGTGCTGGCATGTGTAACACGTGGTCCAGTCACCGGAGCATGGTGCGTTATGTAACGGTGCTGAGCGGTTCAATTGATAATCAGGCACCAACTACGTGACGCCCAACACACTTATTGCTCACGATGTGCTCCCACAGATATGAGCTAAGTTGCGAAGGTAGCGAGGATCGAACGTAACTAGCCTCTTTATGATTTCCGACTTGATGGGCTAGGTTTCACAATCGTACAGGAACAATGAACAGTGATTTATGCCGGGTAAAAAGGCAATTCCTTAACAAGTCCCGCAGGATGGTGGAGGTAGAACTACAATTAACAAGAAATAGGGGAGTTATCTGATTGAGCGTTTAGCTAGCAGCTACGCCGCTGAATAATAGTAGTGTAAGTGGGAATTGTATGCGAACGAGGAGGCAAAATGGGGACAGTTATAGTTGGCAACCCGTGAGAAAAATAAAAACGAGAATACTCACTTCTGTACCGCCTCCTCAGGTTTAGGTGACATGTTAATCTGGTTTAAAAGGCAAATATATTCCAAAGTAACACAGTTTAGATAACGAAGTGATAGGGGCCAAGGTCAAGATCCAATCGCTTTTGTTGAAAATATCCAAGGTGGATGAGGAAACTACGAAGTTTGGGAGAGAGTTCCAGGGTTGGCAAACTCGAAGAGAAAAATTATTCCGCCGGCGTTCCAAGCGCCTATACTGTGCACACCATTTCAGAGAGTTACCTCTGAGATTGGTGTTATGGTTGAGTTTCATCAAGCGACGGCATACGTGATTAGGGTCACTTAATATCTGGTTGACTACTATGAGATCGCCGCGCAGCCTTCGGTAGCGGCCAGTGAAAACTCCCAGTGACTTCAGCCTTTGATGGTAGGACAGATTTTGTAGGCCCTTGATGTTCGTTGTTGCCCTGTACAACGGATGCATTGTATACTGCCATGCAGAACGAGAGTAATATTACTCTGGCGTCACAGATTGCGCAGATGAGCAAAATCGCATCGCCTTTATGCTATACACGAACAGCACAACCGACCAGTTTGCTCTTCTTCTGCACTTTCCCAAAGGTACCAGCCTCGAACGCTATTCCTCCTTCTGCCACTCCACCATCAGTGTTATCTAGCATCACATTCAGAACAGAAACGGGGCTGAATAGACTACTATTCTTTCGTACACACAGCTCTCCTGGAATTGGTAATATTCACCCTAGAACACTGCAGGTATCAGCCATGCACCTAGCCGAAACATTTGCCGCATCTTTCAGCGATGTCTAGACGAGAACATAGTCCAGACAAAGTGGAGACGGGATACTATAAGCCCCATTCACAAGGGAAGATGTAGATCTGATCCTGCCAATTACCGCTCATCAAAGTCATGGAAGCGATCATCACAGACGCAGTGGTGGGTTACCGGGAAAGCCACGGCATCATTGCACCGGAGCAGCAAGGGTTTCTTAAAATCGATCATATACTACGAATCTGCTGGTAGCACGCGACAAGCGGACCGAAACAGTCGACGATGGGACAGTAATCGATTTTAGCGTGGATTTTGTGAGAGCTTTCGATCGCTTGGATCATCTAATCCTACTGCACAAACTTCAGCACTATGGAATTGGAGATCCAGTGTTAAGATGGATCGGTAGCTTACTCTGCGAACTGGAACTGGAGGTCAGATTCCAGGCATCTTTGTCCGACGAGATTAGAGTGGAGTGCGGTGTACCGCAGCTTTCGATACTTGAGGCCACGCCTAATTTTGGTTTTCATTAACGATCTAACGAGAGTTATTATCTCAAAATTTTTACTCTTCGCGGACGATGTTAAGCTTTGGCTGGCGATCAGAGGGATAGACGACCACGAAATCCTCCAGCGCGGCTACGATAGGGCCTGACACTGGTCGGTGAGGAATGCACTGCTATTCAATGTGGACAAGTGTAGCGTTGTCCACACCCTCCGTCGACACGCCTACATCTACAAGCTTGGGACGCAAGAACTAAAGTCTAACGCTCAGGAACGTGACCTCGGTGTGCTGGTACAGGACGAATTCCGACGTCCAGACGGTCAGAGTCCGCTTCAAAAGTGGTAACCAGCATATTGGTGTCTTGTGGAGGACATTCGGGAGTTTAGACACATATATCTTCTTTCTGATGCTCAGTGCCTACGTACGTCCTCAAGTTGAATACGTAGCCCAAGCTTGGCCCACTTGGCTAAAGCGTGACCTTGCAGCGCTCGAAACTCCCCAACGTCGAGCAGCGAAATTTATCAGGGGCTTGCGCAAACTTCCGTTGCAGCAACGATTGAAGACCCTCGGAGTGTTCAGCGGATGATACCTGTTGTTAGGTGAGGATGCTATATTCGTTTACCAAATACTGAGTGACCTCAGTCACGTATGTCGCCACCTTCGTAGACTCAGTCCGAACACCATCCTTAGAGGCAATAGTCTGTAACTGAGTTAACAATACAGTTGTCTAGATTGTCGACGAACGTATTTCTCCCACTGGGTCTGCCAACTATGGAACACCCTTCTAAACTCAGTTTTCTGTGCTCTTACCTTAGCTATATTCAACCGACGATTGGATATCGAATTGAACGCCATGCAGTTTGTAACATGAACGGATATGCTGGCTATAGACAGGCTGATTTGCTTCTTTCTATTTATGACCCACTGTGACACACGGAAATCTGTGCAGTCGGGTGAGCAATCTGATGGTTATTTGTGATGAGTATCAACCGTAGCAACTAGTTATTTCTGTTTATTTCGTACCAAGTCACTCCCACAACCCTCCTTCTATACGCGCCATTACTCTGCCGCTTCATCGATGTGTATTTTATTTAGTTCCCTTATGCAGTAAGTGAATTTGAAACTCCTTTCATTACCAATCTACGGGATATGTCAAGTTTGTGGTTTTGTACCCTTCATATATTGTTGTTCCATTGTTTCATCATGTAGAGATAGCTTGAGTTGGCAATGGAATTCGAGGCCTAGTGGTTAACAGCTGACGCCTTACTCTTGAAGCCACTGAGATAGCAGTTGTTTGGTTTCTTTATTCATTCATCACTCCGCTTCAACTTGGACACCCTGCGGTCCGTCCACTTTTCACTATCAGGTTGTGGGTAGTGAGTCATTTCGGGGGCTGTGACCAACACTGTTCCTGTAAACAACCGCTAACTTCGCGTTCTCTTTTCTGCCAGCATAGAAGCACCTGGTCATCTCGAAGAGTTCTTCTAACGAGGCATTCTGGTGCCGTGATACTACGTTATTGGACGGTCAGCGCTCAGCGCGTGTAGAAGTTGCGTCCCGTCCACCCAGCCATTACTCAAGCATTCCCGATGCACCTAAGAACATCACATAGTTGGACCTCATCAATCGGCCCCTCCTGCTTCGCAACCACACACTGTGTTGAGGGGCAACCTCACAGTTCTTCTAAGGTTCAAGCAGCCAGCGTGTGTGAAATTGCCACCGGCACTTTGGCTCGTGTGACAATCAACAAGCGGACTGAGCGGTGAAACGACACCACTCGCCCCACAGTCAATCTAATCTCTTGAGCTAGTTGTGTTAGCTGCGCATTCGGAGAATTATTGGAATTTTCATCGGCCACATGTAAAGGCGTGTGGTAGTCCCTGAACATTTGCGCTCAGCTGATTCTTCACTACGCCAGTTCTAATCGTTGTAGGTTGTCTAGTAGCACCTGTATTTTGCTGCAGCCGTGAGTGAATTGAATGATATCGTTTAGTAAGCCGTTTCGTTCTGATTTGATGACGGGTATGGGTGTCACTTGAGAACGGTGCACTCGGCAAGTGGACGAGACATCGGTTGGTTGAAACTCATCACTTCTGAGTAGCACGCACTTTGTTCCGCTCATTCGGAGCTACGACGGACGGCTATGTGCAGTGCACCAACACCGGTGCGCAGCAGTCTTGCAGTGTTCTCTCGGGGTAACATGCATATGCGGATTGGAGTACAGCCAATGACGTGTAAGTGCTTCAGACATGACCCATCGTTTAGTGGCACATGGGTACTCGTTCGAACAGTCATCTGCGTGAAGGTTGTGGGATACGCAGGTTTCATTTAGCTGATTGCACTTATTATATGGGACCGCGACGATGATCGCTGAGATGATATCACAACTTATCTCTGAGTCAAAGCTCTGTGTGAGACAAATGATCAGACTCTGCAGCTGCTCAAAGTAGGACCCAACCGGCAATCGCTTGGGCGCCTCAACTGCTTAAACGATCAGAAGCGGTAACTGACAATAGAAGTGACAACGTGAAAGAAATTGACATGAGTGTTCCGACGAAATTATCTTTAAAACATGCCATATCTTTATTCAGCGACGGATAAGTAAAATAACTCCAGCTTATCCGTGCTATGTTGTCCCTGCTCTATCTTCATATCGTAATAGTACGTCCTGTCCCGGACCGATTGCCGCAAGCGCCATGGCCTGCAGTACTCCCAGTGAATTCGCATCAAGGGCCATTTTCGGGATGCCCCAGTGAGTACCATCTCTAGTGGTTTTATTAATATGGCATTTCACATGTTGTTTAAGCAGATCTTTTACCAAACTGGTATTTTGTCGCTGAGGCTGATGAATTATCTACAGTCGGTTTTACTTCACGTATAAATTATCTTATGGGGTTTGCTGGACGTCGTTAGATAGAAAAGAACATGAACTCCTGAAGTTTTCAAACTCAGTTATGCAGAAAAGCGGTTGCCGTTTGCCAAAGTTCCAAAAACGCGCCTTAGGAGCAACATTGACTACTAGTAGATGAGTCCTGGATTTGCACTGCTCATTGCAATTTTAGATTTCCCAACATCAGGAAATACGCCCTAGTCCGCTAGAGCAATGGCATAGCCTCCGAAGTGTGTAGCAGTCTGGAGATTTCCCGTGTTTATTTGAGTAAATTGTGTGGAATTCTAACTACAAATACTATTTCACTGCAAACCAAGGCGATCAATGTGGAATGTTGAAGTGCATGCTGAGTTCGTTTGCTTGCATCGAGTAACGCTTTTTGCTGGGTCCTTCAATTGGTCTCCAACTGGTGACAGCACTATGTGTTGCACCTTTTCGTTCCCCTAGCTAGCAACGTCCATCGGGGTCGCTTTTATAGTTGGGACAACAAAGAATCTTTTGTAGTGCAAAAGAAAAGCTCCGCTGCATCCAGCTGTCTAGTTGAACTACACTCCGGGCTGCCGATAAGTTGGTTATCCCGAGCCTGGGAAATTTTTCAGACTGCTACAGGTGAGATATATTTCACGCCCCAAGTAAGAATATTGGAAGACGAAGGTGGTAGGATAACATTGTCATTTTGTGCATACTCGTCGGCCACGTACATGCAATTAAGAATGTATACAAAACGGTGTCACATAAAATCAATAATTGATCAACTGTTTTCCGATAGGCGTGTTGCACGCTACCACGGTAGACTTTAGTGTCACTGTCGATTGACAGCGGCCACTACTCAGTGTCAAAAAACATCTGACAGTGACACTAAGCCTACCGTGGTAGCCTGCAACGCACCGATTGGAAAACATTTGACTGCTTATTGATTTCATGTGACATGGTTTTCTATCCCTTGTTAATTAAGTGTACGTGGCCAAAGAGTATGAAGAAATAACAGTGTCATCTCACAACCTTCGTCCTCTGATATTCGATCTTGTCCGCTCTCCACCTGAAACATCCGAAGGGCACCCGTCTAATACTATTGACTATTCCACCAAAAGTAGCCGGCAACAGTAAGCGTTGTTTAGTTAGGTTTGCAGACAAATTCGTCTGTTGTATAGAGATGACGAGCATGAGAGCAACACCGCGGCGATATCTCGAGTGTTTCTTGTATTGCCAAGATAACTGTAGGTGTAAATAAACGTTTGTCCCAACACGGAGAAATGTAATGCAAAGTATATTAATGTTAGAAAGTGGCCTGCGCTTATCAAGTATGCGGTTGTAAACGACGAAGCATTAGTGGGTGCAGTCCTAGCAACCAGACAAGTAACCCCGTTTCTGGACAAATCCGAGTCCGCCCACAACCGCCTCAATTAATGTCTCTGAGTCCACCGAAGTTGTCCAGTTTGTTAGGGACCCGGCGTTGGTGAGCGTTACAAATGGAAGCCGGATATGAAAATAGGGAGCCACCGTGCCGAGCTCCAAATCCTCTCTGAACTCACTAAATAATATATTCTTCGCGTGGTGTTTCTTTTCCAACGACAAATGAAAAAACCGAGGCGATCACTTCATCAGAGCATCGAGATGCCATGTATTCAGGCACACCGGCTCACATCATCATAATAGTGACAGTTAACAAGTTGTTATAAAACGTAAGCTAAACGTAAAGTTAAGAAATGACCAGAAGCTTCTGGTGGAAATCATGTGTCAGCTGCCGTGCGATCACCACGTCGTACGCGGGCTGAGTATACCACGAGGACCCCCACCCCTACGCGGATTCGAACCCGCGCCGCAAGATTACAAGTTAAGCTTGTTACTTCTAGGCTACAGGCTGAGGTGGAGAGCTTAGTTCAATAGTTACGTACAAAGTGGGTTCACTACAAACAGTTAAGCACTAACAAGTTCTAGGTAAAAGACAGAATTACCTAGTTACTATTGCCTATTTTGCTTAAGTTATAGAAAGTGAATATAATGTAAATTGCTTTTATCGTTCAAATAAAGAAAACAGCTATTTTCGAGTAAAGGTTATTAACTCATGAGGTGATTCCGTTAGTGAGACGGTTGCTATTTGCTAGTTTCAAGAATTTCGGGTATATTTGGTATGTTTGCGTCTAATGTACATCGTAAGTCGTGTTCCAAGTTCATTCGATTCCTTGCTTTGGTGTGTGATCCCTGATGAGACATGAACAGATGTCAGTGACTTCTTATTTGTTTCAACGTCGGCAGGTGGTGGAGTCGGCCGGTGGTCAATTGGTCTGCATGTTTGCTTTGCAACCGGTTCGAATCCGCGTAGGGGTGGGCGTCCTCGAGGTGGTCGCGCGGCAGCGAAGCGCCGTTACAGCGTACAGCTGACACATTTTTATTATTTGTTTCAACGATTTCTTCCAAATGTCCTGGATAACAGCTTCCCACTACCATTGTGTGTCGAGACGTCCTGAACACTAATCTTCTGTCTCGTTTCTCTTAACTAAACATTCACCCGCTCCTTTACCTGGTCAACTGACCTATGCTCCTACCTTAGTGTTCACTCAACTCTGTAATTCGACCCGGCGATCAATTGTCTGACTCAAAAGAATAATGATCGAAGAGCGAGCCTATAGGGACGTCATGTAGCTGCGCTGCTTTGCAAGCTTATATTCGTATTTTAGGTAATAAAATTCATCATCGAAAATTGCTAAGGCACTGACTACCCACTAATGATTAGTCACTGATGGCTTATCAATATTTATTAGGCAGTTAGTTACATGTTTTAATACAGACGATGTTATTAACTTTTTTGATGATCCATTGATGACCCCATCATCGTACTTATATTTGCTCCCTGAAAAATTCCACTTTACCCACTTGGGGGTAATTACCTCTACGTTGAGGACCACTGGCTTAGTGTTTAGGATCAAAATCATTAACTACCGACCAGGTCGATGCCAATATTGCCTTCCAGGTAACAATCAAAGGCGTTGTGAAGCTTAGGCAGGCGAGAAATAAAAAGGGAGTTCCATGCACACTCCCTTCAATAGGTGTCTGACGCCCACCAAACGGCCTTCTTTCGGCGGCTTTAACTACATCCTTCGAAAAAAGCTCACAAAAGGAAATTGCCCACTTATCAAGCGGCACTTCCTGAAGGTCCAGTAGAACAGGTTCCAAGGTTTTCCGAAGTCTCAGTTGTACAAAGAAATGGACTTCATGGCAGGAAAATGAACAACCAACGGTAAATTTATACGTGTTAACAAGCATTGCTTTATAAGCCTGTCGGGTAGTTTAGTGGGGCTATCTAAATAATAATAATACAGTTACTGTTTTAAGTACGAAAAGATGGACTTATCAATTGCTCCACGGTACTGCTGCAATCCATGCAGTTTCACAGCACACACAGTTAACAGCAAATAAATACAAGGTATATTCCAGGAGTAGGATGGAGACATAGTGCTAAGCAACAACATGGAAGTGAAGGAGTGCGTCAGCCAGCCGTCTTTTGAAGATTATTACTGTCGGTGCAGAGACGACCGATTCAGGAAAACATTCCACGGATGATATACACGAATGGAAGAGAAATTCCTGCGGCACTTCAGACGACTATGATGTCCTGCTAGTTTTAACCCGTTACTGCACACAGTTGCCTGTAGGCAACATACCAGAAAATTGTCCGCCAAGTTGCTTTCACAAAGTTGTTAGTATTAAGAGTAAGTTCCCTTGATAGAACAGATATTCATGGTTTATTTCGATTGTCTGTCGTTCTGTTGGACCGCAAAACCGTTTTGAAGGCCAAAACAGCGATATTTGGAGGGAAATCAGCAAGCTTTCGCTTTAGACTGCAGGTTATCCATGCAGCAAAGGGTAAATGAGTGACACCTCAGGTTTGTATTACTGCTGAGTTGCAGTGTGGAGCGACGCACATGATGTGGACCTTGCGGAATCAGGTAGGCCATTATCAAGTCGCCCCGTAATCTGCGATATCGTCCGCTGAATACCCCAAGCGTTTCAACTCCCCCTCCTATGGGAGATTGCATATTCCAATGACGTACTTTTATCCCTGACATTGAGGCTGCTTCAGTGCATTAAGATGTGTCTCAGCCATGGATGCCAGGTTTGAATTGCGTATTCGACGTGCAAACGAACATACACACTTAGCTCAGTTGCTCGTTCGCTCGCCGAGCTGGGAAATTTGTTAACCAACGTTTCACCGCCATGCGAGGCGACATCATCAGTGGTAGAGTGTAAACACACTGCAGTACAGCAGAGGCAAAGCAACAAGAAGAGAAGAATCTATTTAAATATTTCCAACTCAACGGATACCTGCGAAGCTTCATCCGAAGGTGTCTGAACCACAACAAACCAAACAGACAGTCCACACTAACGACGGAGAGACGCGTTGTTTTGCTTTATATGAAGAACAAAGCCGAAATGGCAGCAAGACTATCCAAACAACATCACCTCGTCATAACACACAAACCAACTGCCACATTGAGGAAAATTCTGTCAAAACCGGAAGGGAAATTGGGAGTTCATGAGCAACGTAATGTTGTACGTAGACTAAGTTGTAGAAATTGCGGAAAGGACTATGTTGGCCAAACAGGTGGAAAATTAGCAACACGATTACAGGAGCATAAAAGAGCATATAAAAGGCATTATGCACCATCGCTAGTCTCAGTACACGTGGACGAACAAGAACACAGTTTTGACTGGACCAACACAGAAGTCTTGAAACGAGGTGAAACCAGAAGAGAAAGGAAGTTCCTAGAAGCGTGGTTCACAGCAAAAGACTTGATCAACTTGCATATCGAGATTGACCCAGTTTACCAGCCCCTCCGACAGAAAGAATTAGAGAACTTACGAGACGCCGCTTGAATAGGAACAACCCGAGCGACGACTTCCGCCACAGGGATGTGGGTAGACATCACGGGACACAGATCAAAGCCGTGACTTTCGAAAAGTCACCTGCACGCCGATCACGGATCGACAAGTCAATCAGCGAGATTACAACCCACATGTCAACGCACTGATGATGCCGCCTCGCATGTCGGTGAAAAGTTTGCACACAAATTTCCCAGCTCGGCGAACGAATGAGCAACTGAATTATCAACCCGAACTACCAGTTTTCCGAAACATTTTAAATTCAAACTTAGCATCTGTCGGAAAATAGAAATATTTCTTTGTCCGAACGGCTGTCGCAACAGACCGACGTGTTGGTCTCCAGCTTTCGAGGCCTTTTCGGATTACCGGGAACAACCTAAGCTATCTTGAACCAGCACACCTAGATCACATTCGATGGAAGATTGCTGCAGTACATGCGATCCGACGATATTGCACCGCGATATTCACATCCAGTTTGTGAACGATCACCGATCGTTATGGTTGTTGATTGGAAGGTGTTTCCTAACCGGTCCACTGTTGACCAACTTTGCATCCACTTTTCTCACTTGACCTAGCTCCTTAACTAAGCATTTAAGCTTTTCGGATTTTTTCTCGTCATGCAAATGATTCAGTTGGTGGCCAATTGCATTCTAATCTCACAGGTCACTTGCATTAGAGGTGCATGATGACGCAATCAACCGATAACCAGAGGGTTAGCCGGTATGCTA